GCTGGCTTTTCAGGACCTGCCTTACTCTTTGTCGGTATTTAGCTGTGGCAGTCTTTCTTGCCATCTCCTCGTGGTTTCCGTTAGCCTGTGGCACCCCAAGGTATTTGTAGCTGTCCTGAACATCTGTAATGTGGCCTTCTGGTAGTTCAACCCCCTCGGTTCTGATCATCTTCCCTCTCTTTGAGACCATGCGACCGCACTTGTCCAGTCCGTATGACATTCCAATGTCGTTGCTGTAGATCCTGGTAGTGTGGATCAGTGAGTCGATGTCTCGCTCACTCCTGGCATACAGCTTGATGTCATCCATGTAGAGGAGGTGACTGATGATTGTTCCACTTTTTAATTGGTATCCGTAGCCAGTCTTTGTGATGATCTGGTTGAGGGGGTTCAGGCCTATGCAGAACAACAGCGGGGATAGTGCATCGCCCTGGTATATGCCGCACTTGATGGTGACTTGTGCACTTGGCTTTGCGTTGGCTTCCAGACTTGTTTTCAACAGCTTAATTGAGTTCTTGGTGAAGGCTATTAGTGTCCTGTTGATCTTGTACATTTCCAAGCATTCCAGTATCCATGTATGTGGCATTGAGCCGTAGGCTTTCTTATAGTCAATCCAGCCTGTGCACAGATTTGTCTGCCTGGTCTCACAATCTCGAGTGACTGTGGTGTTACTGCCTATTCCCTTCTGGGAAGAGTGCATGTATTGAGCCATGTGCCAATTCATCTTAGCTGCTATGATGCCGGACAGAAGCTTCTATGTGGTACATAGGCAAGTTATTGGCCGGTAGTTGGATGGGATTGTTCCCTTCTGGGGATCCTTTATGATCAGAATTGTCCATCCTTGGGTTAGCCATTCTGGGTGGGTCCCATCCATCAGCAGTTGGTTCATTTGTGCTGCGAGGCGTGCATGAAATGTGGTTAGTTTTTTTCAGCCCGTAGGTGTGGATCATGTCAGGGCCTGGTGCTGTCCAGCTCTTCATACCTGCCACTCTTTCTTGGACTTCTGCTGTTGTAACGGTTACTGGTTCTTGTTCTGGGAGGTTGCTGTGATCTGTTCTTAGATCCACTAGCCACTGAGCATTGGTGTTGTGATTATGACTTGTAAGTGTCTACATTAAAAGGAAGCTTTGTTCCTTGCAGTCTGCTGTGTCTCAGTCTCCAATTTCTAACAGACTTTACACCTGTCAGTTCTGACCCGTATCCAATCAGCCTCCATCAGATTCACCTGCTTACCTAGCTATATAACCAGCTCTAAGACGAGTCACTAGTGCCAGATTGTTACGAGCCATCTGTGAGTTTAATCCAACATTTCTGTTAACTGTCTGATTTTAAGCAGATTCTGCCTCCTGATTCTCTGAGCCTGCCTGAGCCCTGTCAGACCTATCATTGTGTGTTTTTGCATCTCCCACTTGTTTTCTGTGTCCTGACCTTGCTCCGGGATTTTCCACTGGATTGTTTCTAGATCTCAGCTCACATGGTTCTGACTCTGGACGGACTATTGATTCCATACTGTTGTAGAATTTTATGTCTTCCATTTTCTGGTCATTACAGTCCAGTGGGTTCAACTCTTTAAATGAGATGACTGAGTTGGGGGGAGACAAACAGACCGATCCCAGCCCTCCGCATGTCCCAATGGGAAACTACAGTAGAAGAGAGTTCCGCTTCTCTCAAAGAGCTGGGTTCCAGACCCAGGCTTTGTGTGGAGCAGCCCGAATATTTCTAATCGCTATACCTCCACCTCCTTCACTAGCTCAGACTCCTTCCTCCCAGCAAGACGACAGACGGCTGAACCAAAACTGAAGTTTCGTCCATGCTGCTCCGGGCTGGGTGACAAATAGAGTAACCACTGAAAATTCCACATCCCCAGAACCAGTTCAAGTGTCCCCTGAATGCTTCCTAGTCCTCTTAGCACCATCCCTTCATGGTTGTCCCTGCAGGTGGTGGGACCGCTGGGCAATGGCATCCTACAGCCTTTGCTCGTTTGAGTCCCGCGAGGAGGAACACGCACAACCATAAGACATTTGCTGATGAACCCCTTCCTCAGACTTTACTCCACAGTGAGGTTATATATTTCATGTGCCCAATTTTATTTTAGTCGTCATAAGGGCTTTTTGAAGGTGTTTTTGAACTGCTCTTTGTCTGACCGATCACCCAGAGCCTGTTTACCTTGGGAGACTATGGGGCATTAAAGCCCCCGATAATATAGCTTCTGGCATGATCCACGTACTGAAACCCTTCCAACAATGTTAAGGTGGCAGTGGAAAGGGGAGGGGTCCCGAATGTAAATGTAAACCTAACATTTTCAGAATTAACAATTTCTCCCCTAGAAGGAAAATGTCAGCTTTTAACAATGTATTTTATGCATAAACAAAACAATGAACAACTCAATAAGTTAATACATTTGTCTAAAGGGGAAAAATAACTGGTTAAATGATGGAGTGCAAACTAAACTAGCGTCAGTTACAAGAGTAATAATAAAAGAAATAAAAAGTTTTGAGCTCAAATGAATTTATTAGAAAAGATACAGTCATGTTGGAGAGTCAACAAAAAAATTATTTAAAAGTGTTTTATGTACATTCATAGTGACACACCTTAGACTGCCTGCCTTAAAGAGGGCTGTTAATTCAATCATATTTCAAAGATTTAAAACATGAAGCTTTACAGTTAGTCCACATGTTATCAGATATTATTCTCTGAAAAAAGCAACAACTTAGTTCTGTAATGTTCTAGAAAAAAACATGTATCCAGAAAGTTCCTTTAGATGTTTGAGCTTATTAGAAAGCCATTGTTCAAGGTTACTAACGACTTAGATAAGAAATGTTTGTTTGCTTTGTTACCTAGAAACTATTTTTCTTTAAAAAAAAAAAAATCAGCATCAGTTGTCTGGACTACAAACACATCATAAAGACTGAAAGGTTTTATTCTGTAACATGATTGGTTGGACGTTAAAAAAAAACAACAAAGAAATTTAGTAGAGTAAACAGGGGCGGAGCTTTGGTATTCTTTGGACCAGGATTTATCCTTTTATCCCACAAAACTAGGGTTGGAGGACCACTTTCTTGCACTCATGTTTTTCCAGGCAGGAACGTCTTGGAAGAACGGCAGTATATCTTTACAGTCAAAAGGCCTTAAAAATAATGTAGTTAGTCTAGAGCCCCATTTTCACTAGCCTTTTGAAACCCTGTTGAAAATGGTCCAAGCATGGTAACCGAGGTACCTGTTGAGTGTAAATGGAAAGCAGGTGAACTAGACTGTAGCAGAAAAAACCAAACCGCACTAAATCTAGTATTAGTTCAAAAGTAGGGCACTGGAAAAAAATTGAAATCTAGATAAGTCATTTTTTCTTAAAATAAGTGCATTTGTTCTTGGATTGAGGAGGTAAAAGAAAAAATTTGCCAATGGAACAAGACAGTTTACACTTAAAATAAGAAAACTCAACTGCATTGTCCTTTTTCAAGTGCATACTATCTAATTATCTTAATTTAAGAGTTAAAATATTCATTCCATTGGCAAACTACCTCATTTACCTACCCAATTAAAAATAAATACACATAATTTAAGAAATGTTTACTTATTTCCAGATTGTTTTTCCAGTGGGCTCTGCACAGTTCATCCGTTAATAATAAAGAGCGCATAAGCAGACCAAGTCATCTCCTATTTACAGTCAGCTGACTTATTTCCTGGGTTTTCCGCTGTGTTCAGCTTTGCAATTCACAGATTTCTCCACCTGTTCACAGCACAAACTTCTCCACTTCTTAATAAATGGCATCAAAGAGCGTGGTATGACCTGGGATGATGCCGAGACAGAGGCTCCCATTAAAATGTTGGCAGAGGACGCTATCTAATCACATACGTTCCTGAATGTTATGGGCACAGACATCTTTGTTTGTGTAATTCCCGCCTTGAGAGCTGTAGTTTGATTGGCTTCCGATAGGAGGCGAGGAACCGTGCTGGCGTGATGTGTAAATGGTCGTAAGAACCAAACTCGGTCCGAACTCGGCATGGAATCGGTTTCCGAGGGGTAGTGGGAATGGGGTATTCGATTTACCAGAGCACTTCAATTAGACTGATGGGTATCCTGGTTTCTTTTTAGGATTTTTCAGATAAATTTATTCAACCATGCTTAGTGTGATGGAGGGACTGCCTTCGAGTCAATGAGTCGATGCAATCAGCTGGATTTCCTGAGATAGAAAACTTTGAATCAATTTGACTGGATGATCTGGTGAACTAGAAAGTGACCTGACATGACATGTGTTGTAAATTGGCGCTATAGAAATAAACTGAATTGAATTAATTCTTTTCACACTCTTATCTGGAAGCAGCTGCCATTTTTAAGACTGCAGAAAGATAGGAGGAGCTAGCTGAAGAGGGTCATAGACGGACAGTTCTAAATGCACTTTACTTCTATGTGTTTTGAAACAACTATCTCTTTATTAATATTTTATTATTATTTTATTAGCTCACTCAGTCTGTTAATCATTCTTTTCCTATGAAATGGAAGTGTCTTGCTTGATAAGATTGTTCAAACTAATGGGACCCTATGCAACTCCAAGATCAGCACTGCAGTCACTACTCAAACCAATCAGCTTTGATTGTAGTTTCTGGATGCATGATGCATTAAACTACGTTATCTGGAGCAAATTAAATTAAGTAATTGTCACATCTTGGTTGTGGTTTAGAGGACCCAAATGCAGAGGCGGAGGTGATTTCTTGGTGTTTTAATGGTAACACAAACAATAGGGGGGCAAAATCACAGACCAGAATCACGGAGACATCAAGGGAACCGCGCACAAAAAGCCAGGGAGAGACGAGGTGAGAGGACACCAGCGAGACAAAGAGTGAGAGCAGAGGGAGAGCGTATATAGCTGACAGAGACAAAGGGAGGGCAGACAAGGAGCAGGTGTGAGAGGAGACAACGAGGGAGCCAAGGGGAAAGGAACACACACAAGAGGATAACAGAGGACAGCAGAAAAACATGAGAACTAACAAATCTAGAAATTACAACAAAAAAGGAATTAAACCAATAAAACTAGGGAACATAGAGCAAAGTAAAGCACAATATAACCAAAACCATGACAGTAATTAGTCAACGTGAAACCTTCCAGGAATCTCAATAAGGCTTCATTTTGTGTCCTGGAGCTTTCAATGACGTGAAAAGTAGATTTTATTTCTGCAGTGAGTAATTGTAGTTGATGTGAAAGCTTTCCATAGTAAAACATGATGTATATTATCATGCAAATAAGAAATGAAAGAGATGAGTAAAATGTGAATAGAAGAATATACATGACTTCAACATCTAGAAAACAGGAGAGGCACTGTGCTGCTGTCGGCTGCCGGCTCTTCAGCATAGAAATGGGAGTAGGTGAGCCACTTCACAGGGCAGTCTCTGAAAACATCAGTTGTGAAGGATACATTATTTTTAGCTGCAGAAACAGAGTAACAACACCAAACATTATTCTGCGCTGTTTGGAAATCTTAAAATATTTTTACCGGTGATACTTCTGTCCTTTTCTTCTCTGGTATTCTGGTTCATCCACGGTCCACACGGCTCCCTTCTCTCCTTCCACTCGTACAAAACACTTGTGAAGGCTCAGATTGTGACGTATTGCATTCTATGGAAAAAATTAGGCAAGTTTTTTTTTCTGTCATAACTATGCTTTTTCCATTAGTAAGAGAGGTCAGAGGAGTAAAGAAAGTGTAGGTGTTTAACCTTCCATGTAGCTGTGTTGTGTCTGAAGTAGAAGAACATGGTAGTAAACCAATTGTAAATCTCACTCAGAGTCCTCTGTTTGTCTGGAGACTCCAAGATCGACTGCAAAGTGTCACATAAAACAGTCCCCACATGTACATTTAGACCAGTCAACAGGTAACTAGTGTTTTTTTTACTGTTATCTGAAACTTCACGCCACTGTTTTGTATTATTATTAGCTCTTTTATAAAATTAAAATAATTACCCATCTTATCAGGTAAGCATAAGTGTATGGAGGCCGGATGTTGTTGTATTTGTAGCATTCAATACCCGGGAACAGATCTGCAAAACAATGAGTAGATATCAAGAAAAAATCCAAGAGGGATTTTTGATCGCCTTGTATACTCATTAGATTAAACACAGTAATGATCAGTTTCCAATGTACATAGCTGGGTCATGCTGTAAGCTTGAATTAAGTTTTTTTCACAGTACGAGCAGGATGTCATTGTCATGCCAGGCAAAAATAAAGCAATTACACTTAGACAACTTTTATTGTCATAGAGTGTATACAAAACAAAATTTCTCTAGAAACTCTGATATATTAGTTGGAATTTTTAAACCTCCACCAATATGCTTACATTTATTTTTAATTATAGCTTTAGTTTGCTCATATTCTATTGCTATTGCCATATTGCAAATTTAATCTAGCAAATGTGATCAACTCCGTACCTTCAAATAAATGATCCAGATAGTTAATACCTTTATTCTTCCAGTACGAAAAGTTTATCACATTATTGTTTTGTAGAATGTCAGGGTTATTCCAGATGGGTGTACGACTGCACGGGATAAGTGATGACTTCCTTATTTTTAGAAATTCCCACCATGCTTTTAGGGAAGAGCTGATGTTAATATTTTTAAAACATGGGTGCCGTTTGATCTTAGAGCTAATAAACGGCAAATCTGAAATTATTATATTACTGCATATTTCCTGTTCTGTGTCTATCCAGGGCTCATCTAAGGGATTATGTTTTATCCATTTAGAGATGTATTGTAATCTATTTGCTAAGTAGTAGTGTTGGAAGTTAGGTAAATCTAGTCCCCGTCTGTCTTTAGTTTTCTGTAGTGCCTTTAAGCTGATACGAGGGGGTTTGTCCTTCCAAAGAAATTTAGAGATGGAAAAATCTAGAGATTTAAACCATTCCGGTGATGGTTTATTTGGGATCATTGAAAATAGGGAGTTAATTCCGTAAAAATTCAAAAAATATCCACTGGACTTGGTTTCCAAGATTTGAAGACGTTTCTCCACCTCTCCAGGAAGCTTTCTCAATTCAAATGTCTGGATCCGCAGTGAGTTTGAGGCCCCGTCCACACGAAGACGAACCCTGGCCTAAACGCACAAATTTTTCACCAAACCAGCCTCTCATCCATACGAAGCCGGCGTTTCGGGGGTCTGTAAACGATCTTTTTTTTATTCAGCCTTCAGAGTGGGAAGATTTCGAAACGTCGTTTTAGCGTTTCCATCTTTACGCTCTAACCGCATATTTTTTTTACACGCATGCGTCATAGCGTCGCCTCTAAACACACATGCGCGACACATCACAACAACAATGGCGCCGTTGCTGCTAATGCTACTCACCCTGCTGTCGGGCTTACAACAGAATCTTCTTCTTCTGGAATATCTCCAGGAAGAACAGAGCAATATCGACGACATAGTTCAGCACCTGAATTTGACTGAACCACGAAAATGGACCCGCAGGGCAACCATGCATAAATATTAGTGCGCATGCCCAACATTTCGTCGCTTATTTTTGCTGTGGCACCACAGCGCCACTTACAGGCCTGGCATACATTTTGCAGCGTTTTCATGCATTCGTGTGGACACTCACATTTATTTTACGTCTCCGTCTTTACGGCAAACGTTTTGGAAAATATCAGCGTTTCGTGTTCGTTTTGACTTCGTGTGGACGGGGCCTGAGTCTTATATAGACAAAGCCTCGTATCGCTTGGAAACATGCAAATGGTAACCGATGAATGGGTCGTTTGGTTCCATCGTTAGCCTGTAATATCTGAAACACGTCTATGATTCTGAGGGTCGGTCGTTAAAGGGGGGGGGCTTACCTTTAAGGGGGGGATTGTCTCCTGTAATACCTGAAACCTGTCTATGATTGTTAAGAGTCGGTCGTTAAAGGTGGGGGATTGCCGTTAAGGACAGATGATACATAGCTCAGGTTATCCTGAGCTATCTCTATAGTTCTGCTGCTATAGGCTTAGACTGCTGGAGGACATAGGGACCCCTTTTTCATCATTCTTCTTCATTCTGTCTCTATTCTCCCACTCTGCAGAATCTGTTAGTTCAATCTCTAACCATCGGCGTCGCCAGACCCCATTTACTGGGGCACGTGCCCCAGTATAAATGAGCTGTGCCCCAATATAAATCTCATGAATATTTGCAACAGTGATACATTTTTTAATGCATCAATTTAGATAATTCCAACGAGAGGAGACGTATATTTCTACTCAAATGTGCAGCAAGTGTGTTGTTAAGTCCAAGTTGAGGATGTATTAGCGCCCCCACGTCAGCGCATGTCACTGCATGAACTGCAGGTAAATTAACGCGCTGCTCTCAACTGTTTTCCCCTGAACTAAAACTCTGAAACCTAGTAATTAATGATTACTTCAGAATGTGTATAAGGAAACTTTTTATTTTTAAAGTTGGTAATGTCTTAGTTTTTATAGCTGCAATGTTGAAAATGTTCATGTTTGTTAAAACAAATAAGCTCTTACACTCATTAATATCTCAACTGGTAATTTTGGTAGGAATTTATCAGGGTGGGGCAGTGTGCTTGTCTGTATTTGTGTATGGTAGGAGGGGCATATACGGTAGGGGCCCAGTGCCCCAGTAAAGCTTTGTGCCTAGCAACGCCCCTGTCTGTAACGTTCTGCTCTCTCTGCTTTTTCTCATAGTAGCTTCATCTGGTCTGTTCCTGTTTGGCTGTGACTCCATCCTGGAGAGAAATATCAACTGTGCTGCTGCCATCAACACTTTTGTTTATAGATGTTGGAGCTTGGCCTGTTTTTCAGTGTAGTCCTGTTTCTCTGACTGTGACTAACTTGATGTGCTCTCTTCATCCTAAGATAAGATAATATCTTTATGTCATTGCCACAAGAACAACGAAGTTTAAAAAAGTGCCATCAATCAATGCATTTGATTAAAAACAAAAACAAAAATCACTGTCCCACAATTTACACACAATATAAGAAATAAATAACAAATAACTGATACATTCTCACACACATCATCCATGATGATTAATGGTAATTTTTGGTTGCATTTAGTTTTGTTATTGCTGTCAGATAAAAACTGTCTCTAAGACGGTTGGTTCTTGTTCTGATTGCTCTGTATTGTCTGCCTGAAGGCAACAATGTAAACAGAGAATGTCCGGGATGTGAAGTGTCCTTTGTGATGTGTTGTGCCGTTTTTAGACAACGGTCGCTGGTCCTCCAGTGAGAGGAGAGGGCAGCCAATGATTTTTTGGGCTGTATTCACAACCCTTTGGGGAGCTTTCCTTTGAGCCGCAGTGCTGCTGTTATACCATACGCAGATACAGTAAGTCAGTATGCTCTCTATAAAGTACTTGTAGAAGGACCACAGCAGTTTATCCTTGACGTTGTTCTTCCTGAGAACCCTCAGGAAGTACAGTCTTGGCTGGGCCTTTTTTGTCAGCTCCAAGGCGTTGATGTTCCAAGTGAGGCCCTGTTCAATGTGGACCCCCTTGGAAACGGAAATCAGCTGCCCTCTCCACACATGTTCCCCCAAAAGTTAGTGGTGTAATGTCCGTTTTTTCCCTCCTGTAATCTATTATGAGTCTTTTTGTCTTTGTCGACTCATCGCCTCCTGAGATGAGCCCCACCATTGTGGTGTCATCAGCAAACCTGATGATGGTGTTGCTGTGTTGGGCAGCAGTGCAGTCATGTGTGTATAGACAATAGAGCAGGGGACTCAGGACACAGCCCTGTGGAGAGCCAGTGTTAAGGCTGAGGGCAGTGGATGAATGTTCCCCCACTCTAACTCTGTTGTGGTGCTGTCGGTTGGTCAGGAAGCTCATAATCCACTTGCAGGTGGAGTGAGGGAGACCAAGGTCCTCCAATTTATCAACCAGTCTGTGAGGGAGGATGGTATTAAAAGCAAAGCTATAGTCCACAAAGAGCATTCACACATAGCTCCCCTTCTGCTCCAGAAGTGACAGAGCAGCATGGAGGGCTGTGATCACAGCATCCTCGGTGGATCTGTTGGCTCTGTAGGCAAACTGGTGGGGGGGCTCTGACATGGGAGCTGGCTCGGAGCTCGTCTGCCTGGCTGTGTGTTTCCTGGACGGGGCCGCCTGTGGAGCTGGTTGACAGTCACCTTTTGTATCTATGCTTCTTTTTCTATGTCTGATTCTGTCTCTCTATGTCTCTCTGTCTGGCCGCTCACACTGAGCCTGGTTCTGCTGGAGATTTCTTCCTGTTCAAAGGGAGTGTTTCCTCTCCACTGTTGCTACAAGAATGCTGAGTGTGAGGGATTGCTGAAGAGTTAATGCAATAAGCTGGTTTTCTTTAGATAGAAAACTTTGAATCAATTTCACTGGATGATCTGGTGAACTGCAAAGTGCCTTTGAAACACCATGTGAATGTGTTTTGGCCATTTCTATAGATAAATAAACATTCGCAGGAGTCAGTTGGGCCCAGTACTGGGCTGGCCGGGCTGAAGGCGTTAAATGCAGACTATCTGTAGATATACTAATAGAATGGGTTCAGCTACATACTTTCTGTCCTCATTCAACAGACTTCAGTTCCTAATGTGCCTTGGGCAAGGCCACGGTGTTGGGGAAGACTGTGACCAACGTATGTTCAAAGGTCTTACTCCACAACATGGGCATTACATGGCATTAAATGTAACCTACTGCTTTGCCTTTAAACCGATATATTAATTTGGAATCCTATATATACAATTTTATTTTACCTGGCAGAAGATGGGAAGCTGCTTTGGCTGTGCAGTCATGTTGGACCAACTGATTTGGGGTTTTTATCCCCCCCTGTTGGTTTCTGTCTTCACTGATGACCTGAGTCCCAGGAAACAACACAGAAAATAATTAACCAACAACCTGAAACTGATTTCTACAACAGTAAAGACAGACAGTAGCTAAGTTACTCTTTCTATACATTTTTAAATCATTCTCTTACAGCTGATTTTAGATGGTTCAAATATTTCCAGACCAAATATAGATAATATTTTCTAGATTTTCCTAATCAAATATAAAGAAGCAGCTCATGTACAAAACTCAAACTAACTTACATACCGGGTTGGAGTATTTGTTCTCTGAAAGATGAAGCTGCATCGCAACAAGTTTCTGTTTCTCCAAGACGAGCTGAAAAATATAGAAGAGCTCATTTCCCATCAGACAGATCAACTTTCTGAAGTCTGTCAAATCATCATCATCCAAGCAGGAAGGAGAATGATGGAGGAAATCTTGCGTGTGCAGTTCTCTCACTCTACTGTTAAATTAAGGAAGGATCCTCCATCATGTGTCATGGACTCCAACATAAAGGTTAAAGTGTTCAGCAGTGGTGCTAATGAAGTGACTACAGCTGGCATGTAATGTACATTTGTGTGTTACTATGTGAGCATACTGCTTGGCATCCTGGTCCGGCGGTGAAACAGGGTCTGACAACCAAAAACACTATGCTAGCAGAAAACCTCAGCACCTCTCACATTCCTTACATCTACCTTCCAGTTGTGCAGACTTAATCAAAGTCTCTGTTTTAAACCACCAAGTGCGTTTTTCTGCTTCTCAGAGTCTGACAAAGAGTTATTACGGTAAATGATAAATTACCTTTACAGGTCATGAAACTTGACCAAAGCTCTTTACTCTACATTCAGTCATCTACCCATCCATCCACACACTGATTGTGAGCCACAGCTTCCCTGGGGCTCACTGATAGAAGCGAGGCTGCCACCATCAGCACATTGCGGGTGAAGTTTCTTGCCAAATGACAAAACGACAATCTAAACACCCTTATTTCTTTGGCTATATCTACACTTGCACATGGAAGTCCTGGGCTCGAAATGCTTTGACAATATTGGTCGATACCCCAGATTGGCAGCAGGATGTGCTAGCCTCAATCTTAAACCATGATTTGTGAAGGAATGGACAATTCAGGACATTTGAAGATATACATTTTTCTTTTACCTCTATTATTTTAATCTACAACTCCTACATAGTTTCCAGCCTCAGACGCCATAGCCTCTGCTACTCAGATCTGTTTGTTTTTAATAAACGCCTTTTGAATAATCTCACTGTCTGTCTGGCCTTGATAACTGGGTCCTCTGTCCTGAGTCTTAACAATAAGATCACCTTTGTGGTACAGATGCTCCCACTTAGACACCTCGTGTGCTTTTATGGATCCCTGGAGCTCTGGGGGTTTATGCTAAGACTGTTCAGTTTATGCTGATGCTGGGATTAAAGATCTCACTTAAAGTTTTTGAGTATCTGAAGATAACTTGATGAAAAAGGAACAGTCAACGGGCTCTGTGTGCTGCAGTTACCATTCTTTCCGGGTTTTGTCCATCCATCCATCCATCCATCCGTCCATCCATCCATCTATCCATCCATCCGAGAAACATAGTCCCTCCAGCATGTCCTGGGACTCCCCCCGGGCCTCCTCCCGGTGGGATGTGCCTGCAACACCTCACCAGGGGGGGCGTCCAAGAGGCAACCTAACCAGATGCCCGAGCCACCTCAGCTGGCTCCTCTCGACGAGGACTGGTTCTACTCTGAGTCCTCCCAAGATGACTGAGGTCCTCATCCTATTCTAAGGGAGAGCCCAGGCACACTGCGGAGAAAACTCACTTAATCCAGTTGTATCCAGGATCTAGTTCTTTTGGTCACGACCTAAAGGTCATGACCATAGATGAGGGTAGGAACGTAGATCGACCGGTAAATCGAGAGCTTTGTTTTTTGGCTCAGCTCTTTCTTCACCACAACAGACCGGTACAGGGCATGCTTCACAGCAGACGCCGCACCAATCCGTCTGTTGATCTCTCGCTCTATCTTCCGTTATTCATGAACAAGATCCCAAGATACTTAAACTCCTCCTCTAGGGGCAGTGCATCCTCCCCAACCAGGAGAAGGCACTCTTTTTCCGACTCAAGACCACGGTCTAGGATTTGGAGACACTGATCCTCATCCCGGCTGCTTTTACACTCAAGCTGGGAACTGCTCCAGTGAGAGCAGTTAATCACACCCCAAGCGCACTGCTCTAACCAATAGGCCAACACTCCCACAACTAGGCCAACGTCAATCCAGGATCCTGCTGAGGGTGCAGAGCTTATCCAGTGTTCTATGGCCAGGACAAAAACCACATTGCTGTTCTTGAATCCAAGATTCGACTATCCAATGGACCCTCCTTTCACAACCCTGGAATAGACCTTACCAGAGAGGCTTAAGAGTGGGATTCCTCTGTAGTTGGAACACACCCTCCCGTCCCCCAACCACCACCATTTGCCACACAATGTTGCAGAGTCGTGTTAAACAACACAGCCCCATAACATCCAAAGCCTAAAGGTACTCAGGGCGAATTTCATCTACCCCTGTGGCCTTGCCACCAAGGAGCTTTTTAACCAACTCTGAAACTTTAGCACCAGAAATGGGAGAACCCTACAAAAAGCCCCCAGGCTCTGCTTTCTCAATGGAAGACAGGTTGATGGGATTAAGGAGGGTCTTCCAAGTTCTCCGCCCACCAACACCTCCCAAGTGGAGGTCAGCAGCACACCACCCCCACTATAAATAGTGCAGGTACTGCACTGCTTCCCCCTCCTGAGATGCCAGATTGTGGACCATAATCACTTAGAAGCTGTGCAGAAGACTCCCTCCATGGCCTCTCAAGACTCTTCCCTCAGGCAAATTAAGCCTGATAAGCCTCTTTGACTTGACAGCTTCCCTCACCACTGGTATCCAGCAGCATGTTTGAGGCTTGCTGCTGCGACATGCGCCGACGACATTGCAGCCACTGCTCGAACTAGCTACCATGACAATAGAGTCTCGTAACATGGTCCACTCAGACTCAATGTCCCCCACTGCACAGAGAGACTGCAATGTATGAAGGAGAGTATGACCAAGTTCACGTACTGCAAGATTTTAGGGAACAACATCCTTCCCTCATGTAAAGGCATTAAAGATGGGTGGAGGTTGGATCTTCCAATGGGAAAATGACCCGAAGCACACTGCCAGGATAACCAAGGAGTGGCTCTGGAAGAAGCATATTGAGGTTCTTGCATGGCCTAGCCAGTCTTCAGACCTAGATCCAATAGAGAATCAGTTTTACATACAACTTCTTTCAGCTTGCACCAAAGAACAAACTCCTTTCCAAGAATGAATCTTGTTTTTCCTCAATCCCTTTCATGTTTCCTCGTTTTGGCCTCAGAAGGTTTAAACTTTTTACTTGCCTCAGTCATGACCAGTAGTCGAGAAGGCAGAAAAGTAGTAGAGTAAAAGCCTTAGCTCCATATAAGAGCCTTTGGCCGTAAAGCCAAATATCTTCTGGGTCACATTACCTGATAAACGACATGCTTCTTTTCCCAACTTACACTCACCGGTCACTTTATTAGGTACCCCATGCTAGTAACGGGTTGGACCCCCTTTTGCCTTCAGAACTGCCTCAATTCTTCGTGGCATAGATTCAACAAGGTGCTGGAAGCATTCCTCAGGGAGTTTGGTCCATATTGACATGATGGCATCACACAGTTGCCGCAGATTTGTCGGCTGCACATCCATGATGCGAATCTCCCGTTCCACCACATCCCAAAGATGCTCTATTGGATTGAGATCTGGTGACTGTGGAGGCCATTCGAGTACAGTGAACTCATTGTCATGTTCAAGAAACCAGTCTGAGATGATTCCAGCTTTATGACATTATGCATTATCCTGCTGAAAGTAGCCATCAGAAGTTGGGTACATTGTGGTCATAAAGGGATGGACATGGTCAGCAACAATACTCAGGTAGGCTGTGGCGTTGCAACGATGCTCAATTGGTACCAAGGGGCCCAAAGAGTGCCAAGAAAATATTCCCCACACCATGACACCACCACCACCAGCCTGAACCGTTGATACAAGGCAGGATGGATCCATGCTTTCATGTTGTTGACGCCAAATTCCAATCCTACCATCCGAATGTCGCAGCAGAAATCGAGACTCATCAGACCAGGCAACGTTTTTCCAATCTTCTATTGTCCAATTTTGATGAGCTTGTGCAAATTGTAGCCTCAGTTTCCTGTTCTTAGCTGAAAGGAGTGGCACCCGGTGTGGTCTTCTGCTGCTGTAGCCCATCTGCCTCAAAGTTCCACGTACTGTGCGTTCAGAGATGCTCTTCTGCCCACCTTGGTTGTAACGGGTGGTTATTTGAGTCTCTGTTGCCCTTCTATCAGCTCCAACCAGTCTGGCCATTCTCCTCTGACCTCTGGCATCAACAAGGCATTTCTGCCCACAGAACTGCCACTCACTGGATGTTTTTTCTTTTTCGGACCATTCTCTGTAAACCCTAGAGATGGTTGTGCGTTAAAATCCCAGTAGATCAGCAGTTTCTGAATTACTCAGACCAGCCCTTCTGGCACCAACAATCATGCCACGTTCAAAGACGTTCAAAAATATTTAAAATCATCCAGGGTGAACCGAGGTTCTCGCCCATAGAATGCCGGAAATAGGAACCAGCCCCACCATGCATCTGACAAGGACTAAGCGGCAGAAGATGGATGGATGGATGGATGGATGGATGGATGGATGGATGGATAGATGGGTTTCTTATTGCATAGTTTCAAGATTGCCTTCATGAATAACCAATCAGAACAGGCATTTAATCTTGACCATCAGTTGAGGACAGTAGCTTGTTCAGCCTTGGGACACTACAATGAAAAGACTTCAGCAGAGCTCCTTCATAGCCGATAAAGGATGAACCAAAAAGAAAATGCACCTCTCTTAAATAATGAAAATATACATTGAGATATTAGTTTTTGTTATGAAGAGAATTCAAGAGGATGGGAAAGTTTAAAACACATAGACTCTCTCACCTGACGTTCCATGTACTGGACGATGTCGTGCTGCACCCTCCACTGAGCAATGCTTCTATCACTGTGACTGTGTTCAGAGTTGAGGTGCCTTAATCAGAAAAACATTGTTTTTAGATTTAAAAAATATATTTTCCAAACACTTCTCTTCTGGTGAGGTCACAGGAATTCTTAAATTAATTTTGCTCCTTTGGGGCTGCAACTGTATAGAGATGTTGATGATGGCTGAAGGAAAGAATCATCTCCACCCTTTCCTCATCACCTTCACTCTGTTCTCTGGCTCTATTGTACATGGTTGACTTTTTTCAATAAGAAATTACAGGTAATAAAACCTTTTCTCTATTTCTGCTCATTCCAGCCCACCTTGAACTCACTTAGACATTTTTTAATTTTCACTCTAAGGCTAATATTTTGTTAATCAATTCAAGTCTCTTTAACAGTCCTTAGAGTCCAGTCATCAGAAGCCTTTTCTTTTGCTAAGCATCTAGCTTTACACTAGTCCTGTATTTTTTTATATGGTACCACATTTTTTCTGCCACGTTTCCCTCAGAATGCTTTTGATCACTTCCTTGTTCCACCACCATCTGTCAAGGTTTCTCTCCTCTGGAAGTAAACTACCCCATGTACCAGTTCGTCTCCCCAACTCATTTACACTTTCCCAGTTTTAGTAACTATTTACTTGCTAGGATCAAATGTCAGTGATGTAACCGGATCCAGACCCCTCTGAAGGTACATCTCGCAGGAGCCTAATAATAAAAATAAAAAATCCTATTTTATAGCCTAATCTGTCTTTTGTTTTCGTTATCTTATGCAAGCCAGTTGGTTATACACCAGCCTGAACACCTAAGTCATATTTTATTTTTCACTAAAAATGAATATGCATATTTAAAATAATATGCATATTCATTTATGCACTAAAAATGCATATTTATCTGCTGCTAATTTAAAGGACACTTTCATCAACACCTTTGTTTCTAGATGTTGGAGCTTGGCCTGTTTTCCAGTGTAGTCCTGTTTCTCTGACTGTGACTAACTGGATGTGCTCTCTTCATCCTCTGACATGGGAGCTGGCTCGGAGCTCGTCTGCCTGGCTGTGTGTTTCCTGGACGGGGCCGCCTGTGGAGCTGGTTGACAGTTGCCTTTTGTATCTATGCTTCTTTTTCTATGTCTGCTTCTGTCTCCTTGAACCCCAGTGGGCCTCAGCAGATGGCCGCTCACACTGAGCCTGGTTCTGCTGGAGGTTTCTTCCTGTTCAAAGGGAGTTTTTCCTCTCCACTGTCGCTACAAGCATGCTTAGTGTTAGGGATTGCTGAAGAGTCAATGTGTCGATGCAATCAACTGGTTTTTTTCTTAGATAGAAAACTTTGAACCAATCTGACTAGATGATCTGGTTGAATTGTCTCTTTAAAGTGACCTGAAAGAAGATGATGTGAATTGGAGCTATAGAAATAAACTGAATAGATTTGAACTAAAATATAGTGAGATTGTGTAACACTTTTACTTGCTGGTACTGTATCAGCTAATGACATACTGTGCCTAGGATGTAATCCACCTGGGTAGATCTTCTTTATGGTTAGGGGGTCCGCTTCATGAAGCAGGTCGGGAACTCTGAGTGTTTGGTTTCACAACGGCTGTTATCAATTAGTTCAAGCAACTTTAACTAGATCCACTTCGAGTTTAGTGCGTGCGTAAGAAGTATGACAAGCCTATTCGACGAGTCACCATGACAACAGGCAACAGGAAGTGCTTATTTTACCCCACTGGAACAAGATATTTTAATGCAGAAATGCAAAAAAAAAATAAAACAAAAAAGGAGAATGTGTTTAAAAGACAGAGAAACAGCACTACAGCTTCAAAGGAGAGGGAGATGGAGAAGGAGAAGACTGTTGCTCGAGTTAATGCGTAAGTTTATATAAGGTGGTCTATGGCAGGCCACTTTAGCATTTGTTAAAAGCATTCTCCTACCTATTGGACCAAAACTTCAGTCTAATGTAATGTTGTTTAGCAGACTATTTAGGAGCCTACTTACTCTAAGAAGGAGGAGAAATCTTCTGACATGGTTCCACAGCCTGGCCAGCGGCAAAGACCGCTTACAAACAGGGGACTCATCCCCTCCAGCATGCTGCGAGAAATAGAAAAGTCTTTAGTCTTGATAACTTTAGTTTCTATGTCTGCTTTTGTGTTGATTACAACTGTAAACCAACTTGTAAAAACATGAGGAGGTCATTACTATTAGATCAGTGAAGTAAGATCTAATGATGGGCAACAGATAAAGTCCTGGAGATCTACTGTCCCCCAGCTTTTAGATGCATCTGTTCTCCAACACTCCTGAAGTGAAGGAAATGCCTCCGCAGAGCTAAATGACCGATAATACGGTAATTCACCCATTTGTTTCTGATCCATCTAAAAGCTGCAGGACAGCGATCTGCAGAACTGGAGATAGATCTGAAAATAAGAGAAAGAAAACATCTAGAATGAGAAAGTCTAGTGTTAGCACCACAGTGTCAGAGACTACAGAGATGCTGAAGGATACTGGACTCAGTTCAGGCAAATCGGCTGTAGTTTAACCATTCACAACACATGTCAACTCAAGGCACTTTGCAGTTCACCAGATCATCCAGTCAGATTGAACTAAACACTGAGTTATCACTAAGGATGTCCCAATACAACTTTTTTTTATTTCCGATGCCCAACTGATATTATTATTTGAGAATTGAAGGATACTGATATTGATATATTATATATATTAGTACGAATCATACCAGCTTTATTACTTATTACATACTCTAGCATGTTAGAGAAGGTGCTGGTAAAGATTCTCAGTCATCCAGGTCATAGTCATTCCAGAAAAGTTAAAAGTTGAGAAGATTAAATGCAAAAACATCGCCATCCCATAGCTGGAGTCTCTGAAAAACTCAACAGGATATTCTCCAAACACAAAATGCCAGTACATTTCAAACTCAACAGACCCTTAGACAGAGACTAGTACATCCTAAAGACAAAACCCCCAGACCTAATATGAGTGAAGTGGTGTCTGCAGTTCAATGCAAAGATGCATTAACCTGACTCCGCCAGATGGATTTGCTCCGCATATCCATCTGGAAACCTTCCGTTCAAGTAATTTTGGGAAGGGGCAAAAATACTGGTTAGCTGATTGGCCTATGTTGGTGATAGACGGGCCAAATAAACCAATCAGATCAACGAAGCATATGACGTACTAACAGAGCGACGACGAAGAGGAGCCAATTGATAGATCAAACTCTTGCTGAAACCAGTCGGGAGAAGAGCAAAAACATCTTTTCCTCTGAGAAAAGCCTCCAAAGAAGTGTTTTGCTCTTCTTTCAGTGAAGAAATAATCTGTAAGTCCGATAAAACTTGCTCGATAGCCACGCTAACGCTAGTTTCATCGGCTGAAGCCGCCATGTTCTTTAGACTGAACTGTCGCGCTTCTCGTTGCGTCACACCTCAACATGCCTCAAAGCCAACGCTGATTGGACGTTCGTTTGGTGAACGGCTCCAAATTTTCTTTAACGGAGAGTCTCCAGACTGATCTGCGAGTGAAACCTTAAAAGCTCGCGAGATCAGGATGGTCTGACAAGGCTAAAGATACATGGCCCAACACAGAACAGTGACCTCCTCGGGAGAATAGTCTGCGCTACATTATGGACAAAGGACATTCATTTGAGGACCAGAATGTTCACATTTTGGACAAAGAAGACAGGTGGTTTGAGAGGGGAGTGAAGGAAGCCATCTATGTTAAGAAAGAAAAAAAAAAAACTTAAACGGAGGGGGTGGACTCAGATTTCAGCTTTTATCTCTAGCCCAGTGTTGCTAGGGGGGGGCAGAGTTATTGGCATGTTCGACCTAGGAGAGTTGACTGACCCACCTAGTAGTCTCACAGAGAATATAGATCTTGGTCTCAATTTCCGGTTGGCCCTCTCAGTCTGACCGTCTGAAAATGATCCTAGGCTTAACAGATGTTATCAAAATCATAAATCTGTGTTTAGTCACCTATTATCAATCCCGGTCTTGACTGAAGATTGCTTTGGACGTTCTCTGTTCGATGACATAAGATAGAGGCTTGGGCTTGGTGTCGACAGCATCAAAGCAGAGTTTGACCAGGAAGGACGCAAGTCGGTCTCCTCCTTACAAAGAGAACTAGATCCGCTGCCATCTGCAGGCAATGAATGGAAAGGTTTTAATTATTAAATACACAGGAATACATTGCATGGTGGTTGTTCTTTATATTAATCTATTACCCCTGATGGACCCAATTAATCTGTCATGATCGCAGCCCCGGTAGCTGATCTAATTACTACTTCATTCACCTGCTGTACCCTCCAGCTCTCTAATTACCATTCATCTTATCCACCTGCTCCTTCTGCTTTTTTATACGGTTCAGCCCAGTTATCGGGGCCAGGATCATTAGCTATTCATGTTTGTCCAATGTGTTTGTTGTTTCGTTAGTTAGGTTTGTGGTTCATGTCCGGACTCCTGGGGGCCTGTGTGTCGAGAGGGTTTAGTGTTTGTCTTCTGTCTGCTGATCATGTTGCGGTTCTTCTCAGCTGAGCTCGTTCTGGTCATGTTTGGCTCACCATGCAGGTGGGCTCAGGTCCTGGCTCTTCTCCACGGAGCCCTAAGGGGAGTCAGTTTTAAGTCCCATGATCCTGGCTCCTGGTTGGAGCCGGTTTAAAGTTCTGCAGTTTCTCCTGGTACCATGCCTGTTCCTCTCAATCACTAGGCGTATCTGTCTGAGCTCATTGATGGGCTCAGACAGATGGGCTCATGGAACTCAGAACCTGCTTGGGAACTCCATGGATTCCTGGAACCCTGGATAGGTCGGATTCTTTTCGGATCTGAACCCCTGGTCGGGCTACGGATTCCTGGATCTCAGAACTGTCCAGTTCTGTTCCCTGACCTGGATCGGTCTCCTGTCTGCTCACTAGAGTTGCAGCATCAGGGACACTCTAGAAGGCCGGGCTCCGCATCTCACTGGCAGTCCATGGGCTGGATCCTGCCTGCCTGAGAGGAAGGACTGAACTGTTAATCCTAGTAAGTGTCTCTCGCCGATAATCATCTTCAGTCAGATTATTTTGGTCAATTATGTGTGTTTCTCCCACAGCCAGAGTGCCAGTGACGGTTGTTACCCTACCTTCTCCTGCAGCCGCTGCATGTCTACTGATCCACAGCAGCCTGTTTCTGCTCTGTTCCAGTTTTGTCTTTTGTCATTAAATGTTTTGAAACTTCCCACTGTCTGTTTGCCTGAATACCGGGTCCATCTGCCCCCTTTTATGACACAATCTTTTAAAATAGCAGACATTTGTCATATAACACGAAACCAGCAGCAAAGTCAGAAATATAAATAGCATTTTTTAATCATGGACCTTTATTGCTGAATAGCACCAGTCACAGAGAAATGTTTTCTTACCATGTTGTTGTCTGGAAGCCGTTTGTGGATTATGACGCAGCACCGACGGCCGCCTATGTTTATGCTTCAGTATTTCATCCATTCTGCTCCAAAACAGAAGAGAGAGAATTGCTGCCACCATTCATATGGAAACAACGATTTTATCATTGTCGTGATTTTATCTAAGGCCATCTGCGACAAGCATTCGTTCATCTTTAGTTTATATTTCATATACTCACAACATATAATGTGAAAACGGCTTGTTCTTGAAACTGGCCAGTTTTGCTTTTATTTCATACATTATAATGAATTTTACAAAACCCATGAGACATATGACGCATTTTAAAAAGTCACATGTCAACATGTCACATGTTGCCCTGCTGGTGACCTGTCCAGGGTGTACCCCACCTTAGGCCCAGGGACTGTCGGAGATAGGCACCAAATGGATGGATGGATGGATGGATGGATGGATGGATAGATGGATGGATGGATGGATAAATGGATGGATGAATTGATGGATCGATGCATGGAGTGAATGGAAAACTAATTTCGATGGATACAGGTTTTAAACAGTAAATGAGGAGCTTAGCAGAAAAATTACCATGGCGTATTGGTTACCGTGGCGGCATTCCAAGGTACCATTCAAGAACAGCTCCTCTTGACAAATTCACAAAATATGCCGCTTAAAACTTTAAGTTTAAGCATCTACTAAGTGGACATCAAACCCGCATCTATGATCACCAACGCCTGCTGGAGCTACGGTCACAACATGTTTTAAATACAGACATTTTTGACAGTTTAAAAAGCTGCGGAGAGCTACAGACGGACGTAAACAAGACAACAGCTTCCACACCTTCTCCAGCATCATCTGTCGCTGCTAAACCTGCCAATGGAACCACTACTGCTTCAACCACGTCAGCCTCTTCAACCCAGGGGGCTACCACCCTCACAGCATCGTCATCATTATCCTCTTCCTCCCCTGAGCCAGGAGAAGCGAGTGCTTCAGGAGCTAGAGGCAATAGTAGCAGCTCAACAACAACTGAAGTTGAAGTGCAGGAAACGGCTCCCTAATGCTCCAGCATCTTCCACCAGGGTAAAAAATCCCATTCGGATGATAAGATCCTATCCAGATCTTTCTGACATAACTGCTGCCAAGCAAACATGAATGATGTGCATTCCATAACTAGATATACAGTATCTACGAAATAAATGCAATCAAAAATAACTAGAACACAAGAATGGAAATAAGACCAATGAAAATTCAGAGATAAAACTTGAAATTCTCTTTACTATATACATGCTCCCAATCGGTAGAATTATTAGACAGCATGGGATTAATTTTCACTGTTATGCTGATGATACCCAGCTATATCTGTCTATAATCCAGATGAAGCAAACCCATTACATAGATTACAGGCATGTCTGAAGACATAAAAACCTGGATGACTCTTAACTTTCTGCTTCTGAATGCAGACAAAACAGAAGTTATAGTCTTTGGACCAGAGTCTCTGAAAAAGAAACTGATTAGCCAGTCACTTCATTTGGATGGGATTAAACTGATTTCAGATAATAAAGTAAAAAATCTTGGTGTTATTTTTGATCAGGACCTGTCATTTAAATCCCATATCAAAGAGGTTTCTAGAATTTCCTTCTTTCATCTGAGGAATATTGCAAAAATGAGAAATATCCTGTCCAGGGGTGATGCTGAGAAACTAGTCCATGCATTTGTTACTTCAAGGCTGGACTATTGTAATTCTTTACTATCAGGAAGTCCACAAACTGTAGTTAAAAGCCTTCAGCTGATCCAGCCAGAGTTCTGATGAAAATGAAAAAGAGAGATCATATCTCTCCTATCCTGGCTTCTCTTCATTGGCTTCCTGTTAAATCCAGAATAGAATTTAAAATCCTCCTTCTCACATATAAAGCCTTAAATGGCCAAGCTCCCTCTGATATCAGAGATCTGATTGTTCCTTATGTTCCTAACAGAGCACTTCGCTCTCAATCTGCAGGTTTACTAGTGGTTCCTAGAATTTCTAAAAGTAGAATGGGAGGCAGATCTTTTAGTTCTCAGGCTCCTCTCCTGTGGAACCAACTACCAGTTTTAGTCCGTGAGGCAGACACCCTGTCTACTTTTAAGGCTAGGCTTAAAACTTTCCTTTTTGATAAAGCTTCTAGTTAGAGTGGCTCAGGTTATCCTGAGCTATCTCTATAGTTCTGCTGCTATAGGCTTAGACTGCTGGAGGACATAGGGACCCCTTTTTCATCATTCTGCTTCATTCTATCTCTATTCTCCCACTCTGCAGAATCTGTTAGTTCAATCTCTAACGTTCTGCTCTCTCTGCTTTTTCTCATAGTAGCTTCATCTGGTCTGTTCCTGTTTGGCTGTGACTCCATCCTGGAGAGAAATATCAGCTGTGCTGCTGCCATCAACACCTTTGTTTCTAGATGTTGGAGCTTGGCCTGTTTTCCAGTGTAGTCCTGTTTCTCTGACTGTGACTAACTGGATGTGCTCTCTTCATCCTCTGACATGGGAGCTGGCTCGGAGCTCGTCTGCCTGGCTTTTGTGTTTCCTGGACGGGGCCGCCTGTGGAGCTGGTTGACAGTTGCCTTTTGTATCTATGCTTCTTTTTCTATGTCTGCTTCTGTCTCCTTGAACCCCAGTGGGCCTCAGCAGATGGCCGCTCACACTGAACCTGGTTCTGCTGGAGGTTTCTTCCTGTTCAAAGGGAGTTTTTCCTCTCCACTGTCGCTACAAGCATGCTTAGTGTGAGGGATTGCTGAAGAGTCAATGAGTCGATGCAATCAACTGGTTTTTCTTAGAAAATTTTGAACCAATCTGACTGAATGATCTGGTTGAACTGGGGCAATTGAGCCTCAGTGTGAAGAAAACTTTTCTGCAAATCCAAAAAGTGTAGGTCACATTTTAGTTTCCTGACCTGAAATTCAATATTTTTTGTAACATGATGTTAACATTTTTTTTTTTAAATCAGTCCATCTACCTCCTTCAGTTTTACAAACATCAATCTCAGCTTCAAACTGCAACAAACAACTAAATCAATAGAGGAGATCATCTCTCCATCCGGGGGTCATACTGCTCCAGTTAATTTAATAACACAAATACATTTTTACTGAATGTCTCCCGACTCTTTGTTTGTTAACTCAATGTTGGCCAAAAAAGTTTCTGATAGCATCCATCCGTCTTAAAGCGTTTTATTTAAAACAGACACATTTTCCACTGTTTTATGAGACAATAAGAAAGTTCAGACTGTGTTTAGGAAGTGGTAAAGTTTGTTCCTCCATGGCTGGGTGAAGATACATGTTGCACACCTGACTTCCTGGAGAATGTGGTAACACCACTGCCTGATTTCAGGCGGGGGATGGTAAGCATGTCTCTAAGTCATGTACAGTACAACGCTTACTGTAATTTTAAAAGTGAAGGGATAATAAAAGTATAGTTTTTATATTTCCATCTTGTTCAGTTTAGGTTATGCATTTTTTTTTTATAAATTACACATTTTAAATCAGTTAAATGGTAAATGACCTGTACTGATAAAGCCCTTTTAGTGCCTTTAAGAACATTCATTGATTTACAAACACACTGATGGTGGTTGGCTACATGGTAGCCATTGCTGGCCTAGGTCTCACTGCCGTGCATTGGCCCTCTGACCGCTGTGTTCTGTTTCCATTTGGTCAAGTAAGGATCAAGGTGATGGCAAAGACGCCTTCCTTTCTTTTGTTCCAAAAGAAATTGTCAAAATCTTTTGATATAAAAAAAAAAAGAAAAATATTTATGGTCTGATTCCCAATAGAGATTTTTGTTGATTATCAAGAAGATGTAAATATTTTCTCTTCCCATTAAGAAAAACGTTCCGATCTGATTCTCAGTTTTCATTGTTTATTATGATTTGAGACATCCTTTCTGTTTGATTTCCTTTCAGAAATAATATTCTTGGTTTACTAACAATAATTACACATTAAAACTGCCAGGGGAAGTTATAAATCAGGGCTTAGCATTAGGTTCTATTAGATATTATTTATGGTCTGTACCACATCATTCTACAGAGGATATATTCTGCTTAAATGAATAGGAAAAATTTGAAAATAAATTTGAAAATAGCTTGCACAAATAACAAAATCCAGGTCTTGGATCTGCAGTGCCAAAAAAATAATTGGCCTTATTCATATCTTTGTTTTTTTTTACACCTAATAATGATGATTATGCATTACTTTGAGAATTAGTCAACGCTCCTTCAAAGTTTTTTTTTTTTTTACACCTAATAAAAATCATTCATTGAGGGCGTGCAGGTGGCGCAGCAGTTAGTGCGTACCACCCATGTATGGAGGCCTTACTCCTTGACTCGGGTGACCCGGGTTCGAATCGGACCTGTGGTCCTTCCCCACATGTCTCTCCATCTCTCTCATACCTCCTTTCCTTTCTGCCTACTGTCTATAAAATGAGCCACTAGTGCTGTAAAAACTCAAAATATATATATATAGATTACTTTGATAATTAGTCAACATGAACCTATATTGTTGGTTATATTTAGCTTGCTAATGCTCCTTTAAAGGTTAACCCTTAATGGTTTCCCTCTCAACCAGTAATAATAATACTTCCGTTTGCTTTATTCACGATCCTTTGAGTCCTTTAGTCAGTTTCAGTTTGCATCAAGAGACTAAATCGACTCTCTCACCCGTCTGAGAGGAGTTTACTCCTATCGACAAAATATTTACTTAGAAACAAATGACATTTATTCACTCAGTAATACGGTAACCTTGACTCAAAGTGTTATTCTGTAAACGGTCAGAGCTGCTTCAGATGTCAGAGGATCTGGCTGCTCTGTACTGCTGCTCTCACCTTATGCTGAAACTTCAAATCAATTAACTCTTTAAAGGATTCACTTTTGACCCATTTTTTGGAGAAATTTGTGCACCAGTTTGTTTCTAAGCCACAGCTGTATCAGAGGGTTTAGACAGCTGATAAAAGTGAGATATTACCTTATAATTCAGAAAGATAACAGCTCATCCAGGGATTTTTGATCGTCACCTCAGAGCAACATAGGCCGCTCCATGTTTTCTCAGCGTTATTTTTATTAACACTCCTCGC